CGAAGAAGCAAAAATTCAGTGGAGTAATTGCATACAAGGAAGTCTTTCAGGAGCTCTTTTCCAATCTATGTAAAGTTTGGCTCACAGAGAACTTGACCTTTGGGGGAAAACTCTTCATAGCTTGAGGGGGAGAGATTTCTCACCGATTTTGAAGGCTACAATATAAACCACTTGGACTCCAACCAACAGATCCCTACCATCTCCTTCTCAGCTATTCAAAGAAAGAAAAAGAATTCAGAATCATAGAATAGTTTGGGTTGGAAAGGACCCTAAGCTCATCTAGGTCCAAGCCCCTTGCCATCATAAGGGATGCCTCACCCTAAACCATGCCACCCAAGGCTCTGTCCAACCTGGCCTTGAACACTGACAGAGATGGAGCATTTACCACTTCCTTCCTTGATCCTCTCTGAAAGTACAATTCAGCAACAAAACTCTCAGAAGTGGTGGCTTGGTGACAGACTCAAAAAGTGAGGTCAACAGCCTTGTGAAGACATCATCAAAAGGGATTGTGGGAGCAAAGAGCAAACAGAAGGTTTTAGAGAATCGTATGTCCTCCAGACCTATCCATAAGCAGGACAAACAGAGCTCTCAACTAAGTACTCATTTTCAAAGAAAACAGTATTTCAGTGGGGCTTCCTAATGTAAAATTATCAAATTACAGAAAACTTGTAATATTACGCAAAAATCTTCCATGATTAAATAACAGACCAAGGAAACAAAAACAACCTGAGGACATAACACTGATTTTACTGCTGACATCAGGGATCGGGGCAGAATTCCAAGAGCAGCTTGCTCAGAGCTACTGCAGATGAACAGCATTAGCTTCCAATATCTTCCTTTCTACTATGGCTCTCAATTTAGTTACTTAAGCTGTGAAAAAGCAATTGACTATGAATTCTGTAAATATAGGTTTATGTACTTCATATTTTACCTACAAAAGGTATGTGCCCCTGGAAGACGCTTACTGTGCTTGCTATTTTCTCTAAGACCTTTCACTTCTATAGGAGAAGAGAATATACTTACCTAGGAGGATGATGAGCACTTTCATTACAGACAGAACTGGTGGCAGGTTAAGGCTCCATGCATTTACTTACTAGAGAGTCTTTGAGAAACACTCCCTCACTGGTACATTGGCTGCTAAACAACTGCTTGAAGTACTGGCCCTCTCAATACAGTCCTACGGATGGTTGTCAAATGTGTAATGTTGTAGTGAATTCAGTTTCGTTTCAAAAAAGACATGCCACCTAAAAAAAACATGCCTAGTACAAGAAAACAGGGCCTTTTCTAAAAAAGTTTTACTTACTTGGTATCTACTTCCTTAACATTCTGACTAGCTGCCGTGTAGATGGATTTCCTGCATTAAATTAACTCCACCTTTTGTGCACTGAGAACTGAGAAAGAAAGAAGTAAGAAGCACTTTCATTTCATCACCAGGCAAATGGGGAAAAGCTACATTAGAAAGATGATTACAAAGACCACAGGCACAATGTGAACCTGTATTAATATTTCAAAAAAAATCTGCTTTAATTTTCCTCATTAAACCCAAAGCAATTTAGTGCAGTTTAATTCCATCCACAATCCAAATAGCCGGGAAAACTTTTTATAGTATCTTTTTAATGGCCCATGTAACCTAAATTTTTTTCTTGTATCTGCATTCACTCCCTTTCAGTGTTTTGTATTGTCTATTTCTTTAAGTCATTCTTTATAAGCAGAGTCCTACAGTCTAATTTTTGTATTTAATAATTTTAATGTACACTATTGTTATCTTAAAAGAACCATCTTTGATGCATCCAATACATTTTCCTAATTCTGCTTTTCCTATATGCCTTTTCAATACAGCTTCTTAATTATTAATACCTATATCAGTATGTATACACATACACCTATATCTACTCCCAGTGTATGTTTCCACTCCACCATGGGAAGAGAGGAGCAGATGATTCTGAATTGGTTAATGGTCTTTTAGTCACTTTTCCCACTGTTCATTTTCTCATCATTTTCTTTCCTTACACATCCTGTTCAACCTCTGCCTTCTGCAGAAACCTCTTCCCTTTTTTCATTTTCTCTCATTCATTTTCCCCACTGTTGGACTGCTCCAGCAACTGCTATAAGTCTATACAGACAAGAACTCCTCAAGGAGGTAGATGGTCGTTAGGACTGCTTTAGTCTGCACAACTGTTCATTGCTTGGCAGTGGGTTTATAGGGTACAAGAGCAGCTGTCACAACACACAGCACTAGTACAGAGGCTACAAGGGACAGCTGATGCATTATGCAAGAAACTGCTACTGGCCAGGATACTGGAATATTAATGATGGTCTAGGTGAGCTTAGAAAGAAGTGGATAAACCCAGTTCAAACCTTGCCCCCCCCCCCAAACTGAATGGGTCTTTAGAGAAGATGCCACACACACTCTCAGATCCACATTTCTGCAGCACACTGAGTCAAGGACACAAGTCAGTCTGAAGGCTGATCTGGCTTTTATCAGTCTCCGGTCGTGCAAACAGCACTGCCATCGCACCGTGGGACCATGAGATCTGCCTGTTTCTACAGAGACCACTGAGCAAGGCACATCCCAGACCCATTTCCTTGAGCTATGCTCTCTTAAGGCCTCCCCACAACCGCAGCACAGAAGTCAATCAGTACTTTGGAAGCAGCATAAAAAATAGCATTTCTCATTTCAAACAAACCAGCCGGCTGTCTAAAGGACAGACGATAAAAGCATGCGATGAGGCAAGGAGATGAGAAGAATAATCTTCTTGGACCTTTTATTCTGAAGTAATAATTTTTCCTGTCTCCCCCTTCATCAGAATCAAAATAGCTGCACAGTTTAGATGGCAATTGCTCTCATGAGTTCAAAAAACTAGTGAACAAACCACCATTAATCTCAGTACTTCTCATTTGTTATTAAGATAACACTGAAGTTCCTAGAATTGGCGTATTATATCATAGTGTAGAGTCCTGAGCACATTAGCATCAAAACAGCATTGGCTTTTTCTGCCTCTTTTAAACATCACTCAGACTGAAATTAGATGAAGCTTGTAAATACTGGTCAGAGCCACAAGCCTGAGAAATACTTAAAGAAACTGGTGTTCACCTAGCATTCACAAACTTTCCACAGCTTCCCAGAAACAGTGTTGATCTTTATTTAAAAACTCTTCTTTATAGCAAGGACAGCTATCTATTTCAGACATATGTACAGTTAACCGGTTTGTGTCTGAAGAGAACTATAGGAAGAAGCCTTGTTTCAATAGTTAGTGCTATCTCACTGCATTAACATGCATGGGGAAACAATCAGCAACCTCACCAAAGGTGTCCCCCCGCCACTTTGCTCTCATTTTGATGTTCCCTCAACAGCCTTCCTGCTTCATTTAAAAGTAATGGAAAAACGAAAGCAGAGATCAGCAGCAGGCTTGGAATCCAGATGTTCAAGGGATTGATTCAGCAGACCATCACTAAACATTGCAAAAAAGTCTTGTTCAGCCTAATGGGCAAGGGACCAGGGAGCTTCAAGAGGAATAGGAGTAAGTGAAGTCTCCTCATCACAAAGACTGAACCCAGCAACTCCATACATTTCAAGGCAGCAGCCACTGACTGTGCCAAGGGACAATGGCCATTAACTACTGGCCTTGTTTGAACTCCTACTGGCAGGCAACAAGTAGCTTTAAGAGAAGGGCAATAAGCTACATACTGTGCCTCAGAGGTCACCAAACATACATTTAATGTATTTATCACCTGCATGTCCTATACTGCACACATACACATACTAAATATTTGACGCTTGCTCTTCAAAGGTGTTCCATGACTTATTCCCTCACTCCTCTTCTAGAAACCATGAATAGACACAGGACAGACAGCTAGCAAACACTGTCAGTACAGAAGTAACACCAAACCTAGGGTCTACAAACACACACTCAAGCTCTTCTGTAGTACTGCAGTATTTGAGCTGAACATCTAGAAGACTTTCCAATCTTCTTTCAGTGAAATCTTTTCAATGCCACTGAGCTAATCCGGGAATGAAAGCCCAGTTCTGCAACAGAGCACTTCTAGCACATTCTTTACTTAACAGTTCACTGTGCCAAAAGTTTGTAGGTAATTGACTTGCTACGTTAGCAATTACCTTCTTGGGTATAGCTGAGTATTCCTTCTGATGTAATTAAACCTGTTGAGTTGAGGAGACTAATCTAAGCCTTTATAAAATAATGTAAGATCAGAACCTCTTAAATTTTCATTTAACCTGGTTTTGTAGATTCTGAGATTTCCAATCAGATCTTAATTTCTGACTCTGTTTGGACTTTAGCCTTAATCTTAAGTGCCAGTAGTTAAATACATTTCACTTGAAAAAGATGTATGAACAAAGCTTCTGTCATTGCCTGGTACTTTATTAAAGACACAAGAAGGAATTTCTCCAACGTGCAACTGAAGAGAGAAGAAAGACAACTTCAAAACATCATAGGCCTACTTCCAGACAGCAAACCATACAGATGAAGACTCAGGTGTAAGGAAACAGTTCTTTTTACTGATATTTTACCAAGCCTACCGTAAATACAAGATATGAAGCACTGCCTGTGCAAGATACAATCAGAAGACCGAGCAAGAGACATTTCAAATTTAGGCTTATATAATTAAATCCAGACTTGCATATCTGTGATCCCTGCCTCCATCTGTCTCAGTAAATGCATCTCTGAAATCACAATCAACATGTAAAATTTGTAGCAATCAGGCAACTATATGTAAGGCAGACAACACAGAATCCTTGTAAGAAGCCACTTCAAATACGTTCTGTCAGCCAAACCACTGACCCCAGAAGGAAGATACTTTGGCTTCCCTTCTACTTGTCCACTCCAAAGTGCAATTTGAAAGGAAACCCTGAAAATCCCTCTTCAGCCTATACAAGCAGAACTAGCTCTTCTGTCTCTTCTCGCACCATGCTTCATTCCCCAAGAAGTCCAACTTCAAAGCACCCAATCATCCACACACAGGACATGAACCATTTAACTTACCATGGCAGAGTCCATGAGCTGGGAGATCTACTGCATTCCTATATGGGAGGAAGAAATGAAAAGCACGTTAAGTGCACTGCAACAAAAGATTTCTTCATGAATTTTAATAATGTCATTAAAATTATTAATTAGCCGCAAACATTAAGCAACCTGATAATAGCTGAAGATGTCCTTGCTCACTGCAGGGGGTTGGATTAGATTACCTTTGAAGGTCCCTTCCAACCCTAACTATTCTATGATTCTATTCCATCATTCAGGTTAATTGCATTAGATCTTTCTCATTTCCATGAGTAGTTACAGAAGGAGATTTCTAGACCAAGGTGGCATATAAAAATTGATCTTAAACACTTAAAAACAGTAGCAATGATACTGCCCTACTTTTTAAAGCCAAATTCACATCCCTGTCACAAGACAAGAAAAAACATAATGGCCCCAACCCCGCTTCTGAAGCCCTGGACATGAGCCAGTATTCGCACAGCCGATACAAGCTGTCAGCCCCACCAGTGCCAGTGGATCTCTGCCAGTTTGTGTCAGCTACGATCTACTCCAGTATCCTTGCTATTTTGTGTTAAGGATTTTGTTGTTTACCTATATGGTATCTAATAGAGGTCATCGCTGAATACACACAAAAGAACTTAAAAGAGTCTAAATGCAGCCCTATTTAATACCCCTTGCGTTTGCTGCTCCCTGCCCTAATGGGGCTGCAATTTCATCTTCCATCCACCTAAAGAATCAAGCCATTCTAACCAGCCAAAAAAAAATGCCTAGTTCTTTGTATTTACTGCTATAAGGCATTTTAGCATAGTCCAGCATCACTGGTGTTTGTTTAGATCATACCAGCAAGGATCAATCCTCTCCAGCAATAAGCAACAATCTAGTTGGCAAAAGCCTAGTATATCGTAGCGATTCTCACATACTTTTTGTGCTACACATATGTTACCACAGATAAGGGATGGGCAGTTTTCCAGATCTGATGACAATCTGCCATGCCATCTACTTAAAATGTCCTAAACCAGTCCTCGACTTAGCAAAGCACTTCAAACATCATTATTATCCTAAGGTGTCTTTTCACACATAAAGCCACTCTGGGGCATTTTGAGGAGATACTTCCTCTTTAGAAAAGATTACTTAAGCCCAAAATCCACTACAGAAATGTAGCAGTCATGCAGGGAAACTTTTACTTGGACAGGCCCATGAATTTGTAAGTGAAATCATTTTTCTTTCCTTCTTCCCTAAACGTACCAACTCCTTTTATCCTAAAACTTCAGGGGAGACGGGGAGAAAAGGGGGAAAAAAAAGCCAAGTCAGATGAGCTCTTCACCTTTTCCTGATGAAGACAAGCACTTCGGAAATTCAAAACTTTCTGTAGGCCAACACACCCATCTTCTTCCCAGAATTATTCATTGCAGTTAATCACATACAAAGATCCCTTAATACATTTCGAAAACCTATGTCATTTATATGTGATAATACTGTCATTAGTTTTAGTAACTAAAGAGAATCTCCTCAAAATTTATTTGTCTATCACAGAAACAGTATTTTCTGAAGATAAGGCAAGTGTGCAGCATCCCGAGGCTGGGGTTCCCTAGCTCTAGTACGTGTCGCACGAAGTATCTTTTCTGGCTTTGAATCAATAAACATCTAATTGCCTCTAGCTCCTAACACGGGAAGAGGCACAAGCAAACACAATCTGTCTTGCCCAGAGAAGCTGTGGCTGCCCCAATTGCTGTCAGTGTTCAAGGCCAGCTTGGACAGGGCTTGGAGCAACCTGGTCTAGTGGAAGGTGTCCCTGCCCGTGGCAGGAGGTTGGAACTGGATGAGTTTTAAGGTCCCTCTAACCCCAACTATTCTATGAAAATTAAGAAGCTGTCCACAGCTAAAAATACTTCACTGACTGATCCATATGGGATTGCCTCCCCTGCAGTTATCAACAATGGCCCATCACACAAGTGTAAACTCAGACCCAGATCAAAAAATAACCTGTGTGGAAGCTGAAACACTCCTGACATGAAACCACCTCCCAAATTACACTTAGAACTTCCCCTCTTAACACCCCAGATATGCTGTCCCACTGACCAACCATTTCAGTGGGGCCAATTAAAAAAGAAAATGAAATAAACCCTAAAATGTTATGGTTTTAAGTTCAAAGTCTTTCCTCAGTCTTCTAAGAAGATTTCAGAGCCCTCCAATACCTGCAAGGTTAAAAAGGAATCATTTAAAACCTCTTTCAAACAGGCTTTGGCATTTTAATGCAAGTTTGACTGCACTGGACTTCACTCTCAGGAACAAAATTACCTGGGTGACTAAAAAAAGGGGGGAAGGGAGAATATATATTCTAGGTGGCACAGCATTTAATCTGTAGTGTACTATAGCATACACTGTAGGCCATACACAAGAGCTGGTGAAGTGAAAATGAAAGTCAAGGCTACTCAGGAAGGAACCTTCTAAGTGATGGAAACTAAAAGGCACCATTTGTTCATTTTCATTTCATAACTAATCTTTCATCAGCCCAGCGGAAGGTACCAGCAGAACAAATATTCTATAGCATTAAATGCAAAAGTGTGCTGTCACCATCCCTGGAGGTATTTAAAAGACATGTAGATGTGGTGGCCCTGGCAGTCCAGTTGCACTTGATGACCCTAAAGGCCCTTTCCAACCTAAACAATTCCATGACTCCATGAAAAGCATACGATAAGTGTTTCTCAAGAGTCAGTATTACATTCGATGTATATTTTTTACTGGCTTATTTATGTCTAATTTAACACGCAGCTTTAGGAGGACATCCAGAAAATACAGTGTATTTTCTGCTGCTCTGAGCACTTCCTCAGGGAGCCTTAATGGCAGTGTCTGCATAGTCCTTGGCACAGACTGCATCTGGGAAACTTCAATGGCACAGAACCACCGTTTTGCTTGCTGCTGCTGTGAATGAGGAAAACAATCTAATAGGATTAAATTACATGTATTAGGCCCCAAAAGCTGGTGAGTTATTTGCTGCAAACTATGCTTCCTGACAAAATTATGTTGCAAAACACCCTAGTTATGACAGCTTACAGTCCAGAGTTGCCACACAATCATGGCTAAGTGTACAGGATGTCTTCTGACACAACCCTAAGCAGTATTTCTGAAGGCCTTCTCCAGGGCTGACTGCTCTTACGGCACCTGCACTTTGAAACTGACCAGTTCACAGCAAAGCCTGTGTGTGAGATCTGAACACCCAGAACACCCAAGGTCTTAAGTAACATGGTCCCTCAGTCACGAAGTAGGTAATTTTCCCCATTCAAAAGCTCTCAGAGATCGGAAAAGTAAGTCAGAATTACAGTTAATCTGCACAGTACTTCAATCAACCTCTCCCAGTTTCCATACTGGGAGTCACTTTTTGGTTTGGGGTTGCAAACATTCTCTCAGGATATTTTGGTTCCACTTAGATACTAGTTCAGACTTCTATTTTGGTGAAGCTTTGGCCAAGGGCTAGATAAACCCTGGTTGGAGATCTTTGATGCTATCAGGCACATAGCCACCAGACCAGATTCAGACCCAGCTGAGGACTGTATCTGAGCACTGCCTGTCCCTCCGCACCTCCAGCTGTGCAGTACAATATAAGTACTTTGTATTCATTTAGAAATAAACTGGAAAATGAGAGGATTCCCACCATTTGCCTTCAACTTAACATTTTAGTTGCACTGAGTAGATCTGTGATGTTTGCTAGACCAAGTACTCACTTTCTGCTCCCTGCACCTTAGCCTTAGAATGAGAGCTGCATTTGAACACCAAAGTATTCTCCATTCTGAACATAATCATTATTATTTACATGAGGTTTTTTTCCCCACTCAATTCATACATCTACACTGTTACTAAAGCCTTACCACATAAAAATAAACCACATTTCTCCATCTGCAAGTCCACAGCATTGAGACGCACAGATATAAGCAGGTTGTATCTCTTTCTGTTCATATCCTCAGCTGAACTCCCTCTGTTGGGCTTACCCAGCAACCAAACCCACCCATGGCATTTTGGACATAGCATTCAAAGGCTTATGCCAGCAGAGGAGACATAGTCTGGGCATTCCTGCTGGTACTTACTCTTCCAGCAATGAGAAAGACATTTTGAGGTGATGATTTAAGGTGTTAGTCTGATATGTTAGTATGCAGTACGATGGATACATCATATCCATCATGGGGATATATCCTTTTCAGGAACAAAACTATTAGGGACCTGTTCTGGCCACCAACTTCACTGGAAATCGCAAGTCCGAGAAGAATATTTGCCAGATCAAACATCCAGGTTTTGCCTTCACACCCGAAGCAATGTTTTCAGTCAGGCACCCAAGCCATGGACATCTGTTCTGACACCCATCCCTGGCAGTGCTCAAGGTAGCGCTGGACAATGCTTGGAACAACCGGCTCTAGTGGAAGGTGTCCCTGCCCATGGCAGGGGGTTGGATCTGGATGAACTCTAAGGTCCCTTCCAACACAAACCAGTCTGGGATTCAACACCTTCCTGAAAGGTAGAAAGCATCACTAGAAAAATAAGGCCTGACTTGCAATTTATCTGCAGAGATGGTTATTCTGTGTTGACTGACAACCTTCACTACTGACACAGCAGTGGACACACACTTGCCTGTTTTCAGGAGCCCATCTCAGCAGTACAGAGATGCCCTGCACTCTCCTTCACATCCATTCAACAGTGCACAAACACCAAGGCAGTCCTGAGGGTATAGTTGGACTTGATGATCTTGAATCTTTTCCAATCTAGTTAACTCTCCAATTGCTAACTTAAACCATTTGGTCACTGGCCAAGAAGAGCAGTGAGACCAGCTCAGAGGCTCTCACCTGGCTATGGTGGATCCTGTCTACCTGGCTCCCTCCAAGCACACCTTATTTTTAATATAGAAAACTTCTTATTCTGAAGACACATGCATACAAAATATCTGCAATTTGCAGATGCATATCGAGTGTTTCCCTGAGAAATTTATGCCATGATAAAATATAGTTGGTGCCTATGGTCAAGAAAGCCAGAGAAAACCAGATGTTATTCTCCA